CCCTGCAAATCCTAGATTCGACCCTGACGTCGGACTTCCGAATCCCATTCCTTGCCTGGCGAATCCGTAGTTTGTACCAAACGCGTGTGTCGCGCCTAATTCTGATCGTCCCATCCCATAATGTATGCCGGACGCTGAGTTATTTTGTCCCAATCCCAAATTTACTCTACTGTATTCTGGATTTCCCCCATACATTGAGGTCGATTGCCCTAATCCGTAGTTTGACATGCTAACGTTTGAGAATATTCCCGGTGTCTGTGGATTATTTAAGGGTGGTTGGGAGGTATTTCCTGAACTCGCGCTCATTCTCGCACTGGTACTCGTGTACGTCACGGTAGTGTTCGTTGTACTCGAGGCTGACGGTGCCTCGGTTGTTATTGTCGTGGGTGTCACGGCTACCGTCGGCACCCCTGTTCTCGCGTCTTGTGTGCCGTCCATATTTATCCTAATTAACTCTAATCTTGAGAGGTACGGTCTCGAGTCGTCGTTCCGTCTGTCTCGTCGATTATTCCGATTGGTCAACGATCGCTCTGAACGCGTGGGTGGAATTTTGAGGCTGTTTGTGTACTTACGTAGACCCAAAAACGGCGAATAAGAGCCACAATTGCATCCTCCTTCCTCTCATTGGTGTTTTAATCGCGTTCGTTGTCTCTGTGCGTTGCTTCTCTGCTGGTTGTCCCCGGTTACTAGCTTTTTGGCGAGTTGTCTCTGCTAACACTTTTCTGCTAGTTGTCTCTGCTAGCACTTTTCTGCTAGTTGTCTCTGCTAGCACTTTTCTGTTAGTTGTCTCTGCTCGTTGTCACTGCTCCTGTACTCAGCTAGTTGTCTCTGGTTCTCACACTGCTGCCGATGTCCATGGGCTCGTCGAGCTGTCCTCGGGTGAAGTTTTGACTTCTCTGGATTCTTCCGCTCGCTCTGGCAATGCGAGATTTCTCTAATCTTCCTTCTATCGAGTGCAGTTGTAACGGGAGATTGAGACGTCTGCCTTTTCCTTGACCGTCGGGTTTTTTTTTTTTCTTCAGCACACGCGTATACCTTAATTATTCACTGCAATCCTTCACTTTTTTGTTAACATCACATAATTTTCACTTTTAATCCTTTGAGTCACTGTAATCCTTGTTTTTGCACTCGCTTCCCCGAATGAGTGCCCAAAAACACGTTGGGCGCCAATGTGACGAAATGAGTTAATTTGTCCTTTAATAACTCATGTTTCACTCCGACCTCGGCTAGTCTCGGTGAGCTCACGGGTGGTTCGCTCAATCGGAGGGATAAGTGAAGGATAGAGGGAGGGTTAACGATATTAAACCGACCGTACTAATGTTGGTAAAATAACTATATATTAACTTTAATTTATACACGGTAGTGTTTAATGGGTCGGTATAACGCGGTTCTTGACTCGACTTTGGGACCTTGACTCGACTTTGCTATTGGTTGGCTGAAGGCCTGAGCTCAGAGATCCGCTCTGTTTCGCTCCTGATCGTACTCTGCCGTACTCTGGTGCTTCCCAAGTCGTCCAAACTCGTCAAAGTCCACGGTTTTCTTCACTAATACGGTTTCGTGCATTCGTTTGTATAGAAACCTACACAGTCAAACAGTTCAGCACCCTGAACTGGACCTGTAGAAACCGTGGAACTGCTTACGCTGGTGTCCATGGGACACCGTGGGACTGCTGAGCAATCTTTGGATGAAGGGAATGAGAAACCTCGTTTCCCGTTCCCATCGTCCACCACTTTGGGCATAATAATTATAATTATTAAATAAATCGACGTATTGATCGATCTCGATACGTCACAGAATGTTATTTAAAACTTTAGAAATTCCTCGATTATTTTGGAAAACTCAAATTTTATTCAAATTTTCAGAACACCTAAGAATTTTATTCAATTTTTTAGCAATTCCGGGAATTTCTTCAGAGTTTCTAGAAACTCCTTGAATTCACTTAAATCTTCCAGAAACTCCCTGATTTTTCTCGAAATTTCTAGAATCTTGTTGCATTTCCTTGAATTTTCTAGAAACTCTTTGAATTTCCTCGAAATTTCTAGAAATTTCTTGATTCCCTCGAAATTTCTCAAAACTCCTTGAATTCTCTCGAAATTTCTAGAAACTCCCTGAAGTCCCTTGAATTTTCTAGAAAAATCTAGACCTGTAAGCTCAATTTCACAAAACGACTACTCATAACGAAAACATAGACGTATCCTCATCAAAATTTCGCCCTTATGTGTAAATCATGCCAAATCTGTGCGGAAAGTACGCATAGATGTGCAGATAATCCTCATAAAAATTGTGTATTTCATGCATAGTTATGCGAATTATCCGCATAACTATGCATGATTCACGCACTATTTATGCATGATTTGCATATAAGAGAGTGACTTCGGCTTATGTGTGAATCTCGCATAACTATGCAGATTATCCGCATAAGTGTGCAGATAATCTGCACAGCGTTTTCTGTGTGACCCCAACACATTGGGCCAAGCTTATGGTTGAACCCCTGAGCTCAAGCTCGGAGTATCAAGCTTGGACCATGATTGGGACTAGCTTGGCACCCAAGATTTGATTCGCAAGATATCACCAAGATTGGTTTTACCTAGGTATCACCATAGGTTCAAGCTTGGTTCAAGCCCCTGAGTTCAAGCTTGGAGTACCAAGTTTGGACCAGGATTGGAGCTACCCTGGCACCCAAGCTTTCATTCCCAGGATTATATCACCAAGCTTGGGTTTACCTAGGTATAACCACAAGTTCAAGCTTGATCAAAGCTAGGAATCCCAAGGCTTGGTATCCTAGATTGAACCAAGCTTGATCCCATTGTTCAAGCTTGGAATCCCGCACCTGGGATTCGGCGGCCCGGCCACCAGGCTTGAACTGAGCTCGGCCCGTTCGTTTTTTCCTACCTGGGAGCTTAGTTGGCCAGAGTACCTGTCCGGTAAACAGGAGCTCGTGTGTTTTCGAATGTTTTAATTCGTGGATTGATTATTATTCAATTGTTGCCCTCGTATAGAGGCCAGGAAAGTGAATGGATAGTGTATAGCATCCCTCTTTCCATGTAATTTATGACTCAAAAACATCTAAGGTCAACCGAATAATAGCTCGGGTATAATACAGAAAGCAAATGATGAAATTAGAAACGGTCAAAATTGATATTCACAAGGGCCAGATATGAGGCTCCGAAATAAGGGTCACTAAGGTCGGAACTGAAGGTCGCAAAAATCAGAAATAAGGGGTGGAAATGAGGGCGAGCAGTGGGGTTTAGGCATCATAAGTCCGTGACGATGCGGATCTACGTAGGAATATTCATTGGGAAGTAAATTGCTAATTTATTAGTAAAAATGAGCCACCGAGTAATAACAAAGAGTAATTGTCCATTTATTTTTCTAATGTTCGTTGAATTCCATAGGATAACCTTCGTTTTTGCTTATGATATAAAAATTATTATTTTGAGGAGTTTATTTACCTCATCCTTTTTCAATATTCAACACCCTTTATTTTTTATTTCGAGATTCAACAACTCAAAACGACGCTTTTTATACAGAGTATACAAAAAATAAACAAGTAGAAAAATGCTCTTTTTTATAACTTATTGGTGACTTTTATTTCTATCCCTGACTTCTGACCCTCCTGTCCCTTAGTTTCGAACCTTATTTAATTTCATCATTTGATTTCCTTACGGCTAGAAGATTTTTGAGACCCACACAACCCATTAAAATTAAAATGACGAATATCATTGACGGATATCTATGGTTTCACATAGAAACCGATATCAAATGACGGATATCATTGAACCCGACAATCCATGAAAAAAATTTAAATTTAATTCATTGGATATCGAAAAAAAAGTAAAAAAATCGGTCATATACACATATACATACTGTAACGTGTTATTTTATTTCGACCGTTCAACGGTGAAATTTACCATCCAGACGAGAAGTCATCACTCCGAAGCGAGAGTCAAAAGGGTTTATTTGGGGTTCTGACTAATGCTTTGGTTTTTTACTTTTTTTGTTATTGTATCGAGCCACATATAGGGACTTCGGCAGCCTCGGACGTCAGGTCTCCAGGGAGCTGGGAAGGGGGAAACTCCAGAAAGTCGTTGTGGTAAAAGAGCTGCTTTTGTATTTGGATCGAGTTCCCGCGTTGGAGGGATAGCTCGAGTACAGTTCACCGGCGGCGCCACTTGTCGGCGGTGACGGGACGAAGGCGGTTATCGGCCGAGATTTGCGACGCCATTTTTGGATCTCCTCGCCTAACCGGAAGTGATGGGTTAGGCAGTGCGAGAGAAATTATCGGACTGACGTTAGACGTCCGGTAATGATACGAAATAAAGGGAAAAGGAATTGGATATTTATTCCCTATTTTGGTGACGTTGTCACACAGCTGAGTGTTTAT